CAAATTATAAGCGAACTGCAATGTTACATACATGTACACGTGCTAAACAATAGTCAGTGCGAGTTCCGATTAACAGTTTTCAGCATTCCTATGAGGAAGAAAATATATCTATATACTGTTCATGTTTTTTTTTTTTTTTACCAAATTTAGAACAATATAATTCATTTAAATAATTTCACTTTACTGTATTAATGTGCAAGCATTTCCCTGAAATTGTCGAATGACCGGAAAGCTGTAATATTTGATGGTGAGCGTTTGCAGTGAGTGGGCGCATGAACGTTATAAAAGATATCAATAAAATATAACAATTTTTTCCCCCCTCGATATTTACTTCTTTTGTAAACAGTGGTTTGTCTTTAATTTAAACATTTCTCCAATTACAGAAGATGGAATGTGCATGGTGATGAACTTCACAAAACAATTAAAACAGGGGGGGGGGGGGGGTATATCACTAAAACTTATTATTCTCAATAATACTCAAAAAAAAAAAAAAAAAAAAAAAAAAAAAAAAAAAATCAATGCCAAGTTTACTTGAATATATTCTGTTTCTTTGTGTATTAAGTATTAGTCGCGATCATTTCCTGTGTATAGGGATTAGTAGAGCAGGAGCAGGAAACGGCATGCCCTAGGGGTTTCACACCTGTCCTAGAGTACCTGTGGTAAATTTCTCTGCATGTGCAAGGCGTTGTCTAGCCATACAACACACCAGTCCCTTCAACTTTTCATTATTTCTTCATTTTCAAATGTAACTACAACCATGAAAGTTACGCGAGTCAATATATACATTTTTTTACCCTGAGTGTATATTAAAAGGAAAAAGATCAATCATACTTTTAAAACAAATTAATAGAGTTTAAATGAAATAAAATAGATCAAATCAAATTATGTTTTATTACTTTTTTTAAAATGCCGACGGGCTTGGTATTTATGTTTCTGTTTAATATATATGTACATAAGTAGAATGTAAAATAGAAATAAAAAACGTACAGAATGTTACGGCACGTGCAACGTTTTTCCTTCGGTCAGTTTATTGATTTATCGAGTCCATCGATTAAAACAAAATATTCATGATAGAATTTCAATGAAATGAATTGCTTCTGGATTATTTTTTTTTCCAGTTTCAATATGTCGTTTCTGTGAACAGATAATATACTGTAGCCGATTTATCAGTTTATTGTCCAGTTGTGGACTTTGACTAATTCTACGATCAAGTTTCTGAAAAACACCAAAATAGTGACAGCCACAGACACTATTTAAGGTTTTCCGTTTAAATAGCACTATTAAAGACAAAAATATCTACCGAAACAAGATATAATAACATATTTTGGTGACATGTGGTAGGTACATGTATATGATATTTTAGGCCCGATATCCAAGAGGGGTCCAGTGTTAACAAATGGAAGTGACTTACCTTCTCTATTTCATAATACCGCGGGTATGATTTTTTAATACAACGTTAATTCTACGTTATTTTTATGGATTTTTCATATGGAATACATTGTAAATGTGTACTAGAAGATTAATTTATGGAAAAAGACGAATAAAAATATTCTTGGACCCCGGGGTGTATATTGTGGGGGGGGGGGGGGGGGGGGGGGTCCTGACCACAAGCACCTGTGCAGCATTCTAGCTTAAAAGACTATTCAAACAATACAAATCAGGAACAGTGCAAATCTTTTGAAATCAGAGGTAGAATCAAGTGCCATGGATCTGTCATGTTGTAAATTTTGAACTTACCGGTTGTCAGTATTTACTGCCACCCGGTAAATTCAAAATTTATAGCATGAGAGATCCTTTTCATGCTAGCACTTACCCCGACACGAGACCTTATACGGTCTCATCCAAAGGACCGATCTCCACGTTTTACTGCTTATCCAAACTGGGCATAAAACATTCTCAATGAATTTTTTAATCATTATGTTGAACCTAACAAATTATTCCGACTCGCTGTATGATCTGAAAAAAACATGGCTGAACTTATCCATTCAGAAACTCACAGACTGGGATTGCTTTTAACCAGTGTGTGTTATGGCCTTGTTGTCAGAGTCAAGGTCACTGACAGAGAAACTGTAATTTCGCTACCGTATTTGTACTAGTGAAACATTGCTGGTATCATGCAGAGTGTGACATGGCCTTGACTCAAGTTCAAGGTCACTAACGATAAGATGTTTTGACTTTATGTATGGACTAAAAGAACATGACATGTCACTGTGAACTTTTCAAGTCGGTAAAACACAGATTGGGTTTTATGACGAGAGTGTGTCATGGTTTGAAGCAAGGCATTTGGAATGTTCAAGGTCACGTACATTCCTTTACAGTTTTTCCTAGCGAAATATTGTAAGTTGCTTCCCCTTACAAGATTGCTTACATGTATAACTTTAGAATGTGGCATGACCTTGACTCAAGGTCACTTCTTCCTTCCGCAGCTCCAACGGAAGACCTATTCGTTGCTTTGCAACGAGCTCGCTCTAGTTTACAGTATTTTCGTACCTTTATTTGGTAAACAAAATAAATAAATTTCCAATGTATATCTTTAACTCGCTGGCAAATGGTCAATTTTTGTCCAATTTTATTATTTACTTCAGTACTTAAACCAGAAAATTTGTAGTTATCTTTTTCTAAAAGATTATCACATCTAGGTTTTTAGAAAAAGATAGTTCATCATTTACATCAGTTATAGCATGTATATCTTTAAATTGCTGGCAAATGGTCAATTTTTGTCCTATTTTATTTATTTCAGTACTTAAACCAGAAAATTTGTAGTTATCTTTTTCTAAAAGATCATCACATCTAAGTTTTTAGAAAAAGAAAGTTAATCATTTACATCAGTTCTAAAATTCAAGATCAATGTTGACTATATAATTCATTGTGCCTATATGACTTAAATTTTCATGGCGCTCTTAAATCGCAATATTTTTTAAATATCAATGCTGATCAGATTAAAACTATTGTTTTTATCAAAATAAAACAGTTTCTTAGATTATCAAGAAATTTGTGGTAAAGTCTGTCAAGAAATGTTGTCATTCCAGTGTTTTTACAAAAGTTGTTTTCAATGAAATATGTAGAGAAAAAATAAAATTATCTTCACTTTTGGCACACATCTGTATGTAGAAAATAAAGCATTTTCATAGAATTCAATCTGAAATTAACTAATTCTCCCTATATTCAATTTTTTCATTTGAAAAAAGAGGTCAAGAACATATAAATTACAATTTTCTGAGAAACTCCAGGCAGTCTTAGATACTTTTTTTCAGCTCACCTTGACAAACTTATGCTATACCCTTGGCATCAGGTTCTATTCAAGTTTTTGGAGCAGGTCCATTCCCAAGTATCTATTAGCCCTACCCGGACCAAACATGCATAGATGATGCATTTAGGGATCGGACACTACCACACATGCTTCGGATGCTGGACCTGACATAGATTTTCCAGATGAGTGACCAGGTTAAAGTTTTTGGAGCAGGTCCATTCCCAAGTAACTATAAGCCCTTCTACCTGGACCAAACTTTCATGGATGATGCATCTAGGGCTGGGCACTACCACATTTGCTTCAGATGCTAGATCTTGACCTAGGTTTTCCAGATGAGTGACCATGTTAGAGTTTTTGGAGCAGGTATCTAATTATAAGCCTTGCCTGGACCAAACTTGCATGGATGTTGCACCTAGGAATGGACACTACCACACTTGCTTTGGATGCAGAAATGTCTGTCTCTACTGCAAATGTCAGTCTACATGATCCATTGTGGAATACCGATCCCGATGTATTTTTAAGTATTCAAATCTAAGTTTGTGTGGTAACTGAATATCATACAGTTTCAAAGTACAGTATCATGAGCTCATAAACGTGTATAAATGCTAATTATTAAGATCCTGCCTCTCAAAATTCAAAAGTCGTAAATTAAACTGCCCAATGTATTTTTTGCAAAGTAGGTCAAAGGTAAAGGTCAAGTGGATTGTAATGCTGGTATTTTTCATAATATCTTATGACAAAAAGTGCACATGCTAAATAGCGTAAACTTACCTCTTAAATGTAAAAAATTTGCTGTTTATTGCCCAAATTATAGGCACTATGAACTATTTTGAAAAGTAGGTCAAAAGTCAAGGTCAAGGGTCAAGAGGTCTGTGAGCATGGTTATGTACAAAAACCGTAGTGCCAAGAAATATATGTGCAAAATATCAAATCCATACCTTTTACAGTTCTCGAGATATAAGGGTATGACAGATGGACAAATGGACAGAAGACAGACGCCAGGTAAAGTGATCCCTAAGTGCAGCTCTGGTCTGCAGGCAACACAAAAACTATGTCCCAGAAACCTAATTATACCACATATAAAGCATCAGTAAAGGAATTCTCTGATACTGTATAAGAAAACCATCTGTTGGCAAATTCTTTCATTTATTACATCTTGACCTTAAAACACCAATTTATGTCCAAACAACAGCAAAAATATTCAAACTACTTAAAAGTGTATAATTTTGAATAATTTGAATACAAGAGAAAAAGAATTTGCTGTTGCAAGAGGTGGATAGTTTTAAAATTTATTATAAATTTGTTATTAAAGGGTAAAAAATATGTGATAACTCATTTATTCCCCAAGATAAAAGTGCTTAAATTTCCATTGGTATATTGACCATTTCACAATCATAGTGTCCATCTATATTTGTCTGACTGGGAATCATTTAGCACAATTAAGTTTTTATAGTCACAATCTGAAAACAATCAATGCAAATTTTTGAGCAATAATGATGTACATAGCATATGTTTTGGAAAGTTTGTCCTTTGAAATTAATATGCCATTGCTTTATCTACAAGTATTGTAAAACTGATTTTTCATAAATACACGTATCTTGTGTAATACATGTATATAGCATATTTACATATGCTTGCATTCTTCACATCTAAGAATGGCCCGGCCTTTTGTTAAATTTTGAAGTAATTTTAAACAATTTTGAAAATATTCTTAAAATTTTACACTACTTACTGATTTAATCTTTTACAGAGGAAATAAAAATAAGGAAGCTGAACATTCTGCAGAAGTACCTGGTTCACATCTTAAAGAAGGAGATAGATGTTAAGGATTTAAAGGAGAAAACAATTATCCATTTTAAATCCCTTAAGGAACATTTCACAGAACCACTTCTGCAAAATCTTTATAGTGTTGAAAAGGCTGATGATTACAATAAGTTGGACATGTCTCTGGTTTTTGCTTTACTAAGAAACTTCTGTGTTAATATTAAACCATCAAAGAGAGGGTGGGATTATGAACCTCCAGACGATGAACGGACAATTGGTGCTGACATTGAAAGGATACGTTTTATGTGGAATAAATATTGTGATAATAATTATGAATTTAAGAATTTAGATGATGTGTTCAACCGAATAAAGCAAACGTATGGGACTGTAGCTGTTCAGGATGAGCAAAATAAGACAGTAGACGAGAGCGAAGGTTTTTCAGAGATAAAAGAAAAAATACAGAGTGAGTAATAAATGCTTACTGAATTTTTTATTTATTGGAAAAAATACACTTTCAAATATTTCATTGCTTAATTTCTTTCTAGGAATTAATTTTAATTGCTTATTTTGCTCTTAAAATAAGATAAAATGGTAGCATGTAAATGTATTTGTGTAGGCATAAAGCTGCACCCAGACTGCTCTGTTGAGAAAGGCACTGTGATAACAGAAGGAATAAAGTTAGCTCTTCAGTCTCTGGAAACAGGGAATATTGTGATCTGTAAAGGGGCCATTGGATGTGGTAAAACATACACATTGAAAGCAATACAAAACAGGTATAAAGAGAAAGGATGGAAAGTAAGATGGATGGAGGAACATTTATTCATTCAAGAGGAAAGCATGGAAGATAAAACAATTGTGATTTGTGATAATCTTTTTGGAAGTTACGGTTGTAATATATTTTCCTCAAAGGGAATATCAGATACTGAAATTTTACTTGAGAAAATGCAAGAAAAATCTTGGAATATTAAAGTTGCTGTCGGAATACACCAGCATGTATTTGATGAAGTCAAGAGAATTGCTAATCTAAAACTTCTTCAAAACAAAAACATTACAGTTGATTTGGACAAACTAACAAGATCAGAAATGCTGTTAATTTTGAAAGAACAACAAAAAGAGGGTCACTGTAAAACAGATTCCAGTTGTTGGTTCAAAGGTGTTGACCTTACCCTTATGATTGATAAACTCTCTCAAAACCAGGGTCACATCGGAAGCCCATTTCTTAGTTTCATGTACTGCCACCAACATGATTTTTTTTCTGAGGAAGCCTTCACCAAAAACCCTCTTCAGTCATTAACACAGCATTTTCAGAAAATGAGAGATGGTTCAAGTTCAACTGAATATTATGGTCTTGTTTACCTAATGTGTGTTAGAAAACACAAAGATGATGATGAATTGACAAGCTGGGCAGGCTCACTTGAGGCAAATTTAACCAGAAACACTCTTCAGAATATTGCTACAAAAATGTCTGGTTTTTTTAGAGTTGAAAACGGTGTTACAACAATTTCCCATGAAGTCCTGACAATAGCTTTATTCAGAGCTACTTCATATGTTGAGACAGTTTTCTTGCCAGTCATTCAGAATTGTGAAATAGAAATCCTACTACAACTGATGAGACCTTCTGAAAGCAGCAATACTGAATTCAGTTGTGGTTTTCCTAATCCAGAGAAAAACACTCAAAACAGAAACATTTGCAAGTTCATAGTGAAAAGATTCGCAGATGCATTCAAGTCAGACTGGGGCAGTATGGAACACCCCCTTAAGCACCATACATTGTTTGAAGAGAAATTTTCTCGCTATGTAACAAGTAAACCAAAAGTAAAATGACTAACGCTGAAACTGAAGACTTAAGATGCATAATAAGGTCATGTGTTAAATATTTAAAAAAAATGGCCACTTCAATATTGTACAATGGCTTAGATAAATGTGCCAGTCTATGTATTTCTTAACACTTTGATTTGGTCCAGTAATTGGTTTATTAAGTTACAACTGTTTAAAGCATATTATGAACATATTGGCCAAAATGTGTTAACTAGAGACATCTTGACTATTATTTTTGTCACACAATTTTTAGCTCAAAGGTGCAAAAGGCTCATGTAAGCATTAGTGATTGAAGGTTGTTGTGTTAAATTTTTCATATTTTTATTTTGTCTGCTGTAAACTTTATACCTTACCAATTCTAAAGATCTACTGGGCTTTGATTAAATTTGCCACAAAGCATCCTTATTTAAAGGATTCAAATACTGTTAAGGACATTGGCAAGTCAGGGTTTTCCGGAGAAAAAAGGTTTAATACATGGGTTTTTTCCCTTATAAAATAGTGATTGAGAGTGATCTCCCGTGTAGAATTCTCTAAGCGGTGAAAACTGTTACAGAGGTAAACAAAAACGCGTGCACTTCCTTCAACGGGTAGAATCATCTATACAGCAAGAAAGAAAAGTAGTAATGGCTTTGTTGTACATTGTATTCAGGGACAAAGAGCCAACAGGTCGTCATTTACCATTGTTATGCTCAGTATGCTGGATGTCACATATACTAAAAGGTAGGTCGATCATGCCGACTGAGAACAGTTCTTAGGTCGTGTGAAGGAATCAGCATTTAGTAATTACGAATAAAGTTAAAAATAAATCCATGCCAATATTTTTATGACAATGTGTTTCAATCAATTCAGTCAATTACATGATAAAAACAATCAACCAGTCTCTTAACCAATTTTAGCTGTTAAGGGACGCAACTCAAAAATGATGATCGGTGCAGGTATATCCATGTCTTGTTTCTATATATACATTTTCAGCCAAAATATTTAGAAGTCATAGGAAATGAAGCTACAATAATGTATATAATACAAAAACTGTATGAAATAAATGAGTTTTGAAGAAATATTATGGTGAAAAATTTTATAGGTCCCTTTTATCAACATTTTACATAGGAAATGCATTAAGAATTGTAAAAACACTAATTTGACAAAATCTAAAAAAGAATGTTGGATTCGTAGGTAAAACGATCCAGAATATAGCATGTTTAGTGCATTTAAACCTACTCAAAAGTTCTTGAAAAATTCTATACAATAACCAGGAACCTTGCCAATGTCCTTAAATGAAAAACTATGCCCTAACTAGTATTTAATAATGAAAACGGTAATAACAAAATTGTATTCAAATGCATCGTGTTTCAAAAAGATGCTGAGAAAATTTATGTAAAACAATTTCATTTCGTTCAAACGGCACTTAAATTTTAAAAAGGCCATAAAAAGAGGACTTAAATTCTTGAAAAACAAAAGTGATGAGGTTGATCAACCTAAAATGGAAAAAAATTCTTGAATAAGAATATAATTTTAGAGGTATGGCCTTTGGATTTTGAATGGGGTCACATTGAGAAGGTTGAGCATTTTGTATGATAATCTAGAAATCAGAAATATATACTGTCAATATAACAAAGCTTGCACTGTCCAAGTAAGTTAAATAGAAATGCAAATATAACAATGTTATGTAAGTTTAATGTTTTTAAGGTTTGATCAAAGGGCAAGGATTACCATTACATCAAATTTTAGTTTGAAACTACAGGATTTTTGGTTATTGACAGTAAATATATTCTATTCTTATCCCCTTTGCTTTTGTTGAAAGCATGTAAAAACAATTACATTTTGAATAATCAGTTTGTTAAATATAGCTATAGGTCTGAAAAAAAATTTGGATGGACGACCAAAGAGCTACAGTGCCACCCATTGAAGAAAGTGTATATTTATTACGCACAAGGAAGTGCGCTGTTTCTCAATTTATTTCCCAGTACTTTTCAAACTGAGCTTTTCTGATCAAAGAGTGTCCGACGTCTGTCTATCGTCTGTAAACTTTTCACATTTTCGACTTCTTCTCAAGAACCACTGGGCCAATTTCAACCAAACTTGCCAAAAATCATCCTTGGGTGAAGGGAATTTAAATTTGTTCACAGGAAGTGCCATGCCCTCTTTCAAGGGGAGATAATTAAGAATTTGTGAAAATTTGTTGGCATCTTTTAAAAATCTTCTCAAGAACCACTGGGCAAGAGAAGATGGAACTTGTATGAAAGCTTCACTACATACTTTAGATTCAAGTTTGTTCATATCATAACCCCTGGGGTAGGCCGGGGCCACAAGAGGGGTCGAAGTTTTACATAGGAATGTATAGAATATGTCTTTAAAAATTTTCTTCTTGAGAACAGCAAAGCCATAATTAGTCATTATTATAATAGAAGTATCCTCAGGTAGTGTAGATTCAAGTTTGTTCAGATCAGGACCTCTGGGGGTAGGGCAGGGCCAAAATAGTGGTCAGGGTGTGCATAGGAATATATAGGTGTAATGGTTCAGAAGCATTTAAAACGCAACGTAAAAAAAAAACCCAGCAAAACCATGATTACTAATATTGATTTAGAAACATCTTGAAGTGTAAATTTGTCCCCCCTTCCTTTGAAAACTTTTCAATACTGTACCGATTTCTGCTTCTTCCTAGTCAGTGTGCTCAGGTGACCGATGTGGCCCATTGGCCTCTTGTTTACTATTTCCACAACAAAACATTCCTTATAATCATTGTTTACACCCTCCTGTGCCTGAAATTGAGACCATCAAGAATTTTGCCTATTTTTACTGCCATTTTGGGTGGCAAGATATTTCAGTCCAAACTATGAGGGTAGTTAATAGAGGTCTTAAGTTTTTTTTTTTAATCGAGCTTTCGTGCAGTTTAGACAAAAAAAATTAGAGAAATCCACAACCGAGGATAATTTTTTGTGCACAATAAAATATACAGTTTTATCTATGGGTGGGCACTGTAGCCCTCCAGTCTGTCAATCTGTCACAGTGACCTACATTTGGAAGTTCATATCTGTATGTTAATATTTCGGAAACTAAGTGGTTTAGAATCATCGAACTTTGTCAGTTGAAAAATCTTAAATCCCCAGACTGTGTCAACTAAAAAGTAGGTCACATTGACTTACTTTTAGATTTTCACGGCTATTTCTAAAAAGTTTGGATAACAAGAAGCTTGGAATCATCAAGCTTTGTCAGTTGATGCATCTTGTGTCATTGGACTGTCAACTAAAAAGTAGTTCACGGGACCTAGTTTTGGAAATTCATAACTTTATCTAAATATTATAAGTATACTAAGATGCTTAGAATCATCAAACTTTGTTAGGGATGAATTAAAAAAAAAAGACCACCAAATTGATTTAAAAAAAAAAATAGCTACCCATAACATATTTTTCACTTATATCATCATATTGTACATGCATTCTAGTTAAAATTCCTGAAGTTGCAAAAGAATAGACAATTGGATAAAACAGTTTCAGAATTTTTATTAGTAAAAAGAAAATATCACTATATCCTAAAAGACTTTTTTTAAAATACATAATCAAAAGAAATAATAGTTTTTTATGCTTCAAAATGGAATCAGGGATATAAATGATTAGATCTAGACCTTGATTGAGTTTCTTCTCTTGTATATGTGGAAAAATTCGGCTTTTTGATTGTTATTTTACATTATTTTTTTCAATTCTGGTTTGAAAAGTTTTAATATGAAAGAAATATGAAACAATAAAATTCCCCCAAATCAATTTTTGTCCATATAAGTCAGTTCTTTCAATTTAAGCCAAAAGAGAATTTTGACATACAAGTTTTATTACAAAAAATGCTAGATTTTGAAGTGACCCGGGGGTTGGAGACTGAAATCAGGATCAAATTTTACATAATGCATGAAGGGATTTTCTTCTCAGTACCTGCAAGGCTATGTTAGTCATATTGATTTTGAAGCATCCCCATGTTGTGTGGATTCAAGGGATTCGTTAGAGTTGGGGTGGGGCAGAGTTCAGATGGGCCACAAGATGGGTCACAATTTTTGATTAGAATATTTAGAAAAATAAATAAAAATCTGATGATGAACAATAGTATTAAAGTTACTCAGGTGAGCTTTGTGGTCAATCAGGGATGGGGCAAGATTTGTTGCCAAATGTTTATGAAGAATATATAATGTGTATACAATCTTTTTGTCTCTGGGCACATTGATATACTAGCATAAACTCGGTAATGATTCAGTTTTGTACCAATTCCTTGGGGGTTATGTTAGGGTCACTGCAAAAAAGTACATTTCTGTAGACTTCAACCTGAGGGCTACAATCTGTAGTTTTGAAATTAAGCCACGATATAATATTGTACGTAGTTTGCATAAAGCTTTTTTTAATACTTAAAAAACTTCATTTAGTTACGTATTCAATTGTTATGATGAGAAGAGTGATGCGGTCGGCATAAAAGGTCATTTTTGTATAAAAGACGTCCATACCGGTGTTTTAAATAAGTTTTGTGAGTTGTATTTTATTTTTCTTATAAAACTGTTATTAAATGATTTAATGATTACATATAGTTATAAATGATTGAAATCGAACAGTAACGTCAAGTAAAAATTGTATTCACCTGCGCCCGGTCTTCCAGGTTGCTTTGTGCATTGGACCAAAATAGATTAAGCATTTCCACAGTTATACCTTATAGTTACAGTTAAATTCCGTGTCCCTCACTTCGGCTATTTGGCTAGAATGGCGGTCAGAGAAAATCAACCGAGAAAGATGGCGATATTGTTTAAACAAATTTGATTGTATCATTGAATCATGTAATAAAACGTTTGTTGTTTTTGTTAGTTATTAATATTATGATTTAGCAAGTCGAGGAGTACAACTTTGGACTTTGTAGTAATTGGGTAGATAAATAATGCTATTGACCCCCAAAACAAGAATGATAATATCATGAAAAAAATGATCAGAACAAACCCATTAAGGATAATTTTTGAGGTTTAAATTGAATATACTTCATATTTATATGTTTTGTAAGGCTACTTCTTATATTTTTGTATTGTGTAAAACTCATGTTTGAGTATGTATATTGATTAAGATATGCAAAAATTAAGTACACTTAATCTGTCATTGTTGTCACCTGCAGTATGGGAGTTTGGGAGTGTGAAAACTAACAGTGTAAGATTATATTGTACTCAATGTAGCTGTATGTAGTTTAGAGTAGAATAAATATGTGTATATATCGAACCCAGTGTTATATTTTTGACCAACATGACATGGTACAGGGTGGTAGCGATGTAGATAATATTCTGTGAATTAAAACTCGAGATGTATAATAAACATAATTAGATACATGTAGTTAAAAAGGCTGGCTACTGTAATTCTGAAGAATGGCTTTGATAAAAGGAGATAGGCAATGTTCAATTTGTGAAATTAGTATTTAAAGTTAAGGTTTGCAGTAATTGGTTAATAAAATTACATTGTCAACTGTTAATATCATGATGAAGTTATTGACAAAAATCTATCAAGGCCATTGCTTAGACACACATTTTTGCCGGGCTTATTGTTCAAAGAGCAATTGTCGGCTATTGTCAGCCTGTTCTGTTCAGACAGGAAGTGCGATCCCACCACCGCCTTGTTAAAGTTACGTGTAAAAATATAGACTAGTACTGACTCTCAACCACTTTTGAGATAATACAAACGCTAAATAAAACAACAAAAATTAAAAGAAGTTTTATCTATACAAATAAACATCAGTTACTGTAGTAATGACATTGAAAACTTCAGTCCTAAGTCAAACACCATAGTTCATTTGCGTCACGTTGTTGTCGTAGCCTAGTTCTCTACAAAGACAGTTAACATGGTTAACCAGTTTTTAGCTCTTCTGAGCCAAAGGCTCAAAGAGCTAATGCTATGGCCATTTGTGCGGTGTGCGGCCATAACTCAAGAACCCCTTGGCCAATTATTGTCAAATTTGTCACAGGGTATCCTTGGCCCAAGGGCTCCCTTTTATACTAAAACTAGGGTTGTGACCCTTTAACAAGGGGAGATAATTAGGAAAATAGAAACAAAAGTACTGGTTGCTAAAAAATCTTCTTCTCAAGAACCACTGGGCAGATTATCACCAAACTTACACAAAAGGATGAGGATATGTTGTAGATTAAAATTTGCACGGGGATTTACCCTGGGGCAAAGGGCGTGGTCTCAAGGTCACTTCAAAGTTGACCAAAAATTACATTTTATTAAAATGTTGATATTTTGCTGACTATAAGGACTAGGATCATCAAATCTTGTCAGTTGGTGCATCTAAGGACCTCATATCATGTT